ACAGAGGACTGATGGATGCTAGACATATATTTGACTGTAATCAACATAGAGATTATAGTGACTGATATCACTCCAGGAGGACATTTAGACAGAAAAAGAGCACAGATTACCTTAGGCAGTATCATTATCTAAGGGGTATTCACACAAAGACAAACCAACACAAGAAAACACACAGGATAATCAGAAACCTGAGAAGAAATGCAGAATAGCTGGTAGCATGGGCTAAGTGTTCCAGGAAGGACAGTAAGCAAGTCCTTTGGATTGGGTGAACAGAAGGGCACCCTTGAGTGATGTCTTGGCAGAAATGCTGGTGTGAAGAAGACCAAGGCCAATGGCATGAAGCCAAAAGATGAATGATTTATAAAGAAGAGGTGCTCACTGTCATCTTGTCCATCAAGAAGCTTTCTCATAAAGAAAGGGAACCGGGAAAGAGAGGTAGCTGACACAGGGCAGGAGTGGTTAAGTACACTCAGGCATGTTTCTTAAGTGAGGGAAAGGATGCAGGGAAAGTGAGAGAAAGGAAACAAATAGACCCGAGAGGAGATCGGAGAGGAGAGGAGATGGTGCAGAAGAAGGCCTGAGCTGGAGAGAATCGGTCTTCCTCAGAAGATGGGGAGAAAGCGGGAGATGGAGCACAGTGTTAACCAGCCTCGTGGGGGAGGGTGCACCGGGCCTCACGCCATGATGCAGGACCAAAGAGCAGTGGTCATTCATATCCATTATAAAACAAATAAAAGATGAAATAGTATTTAGAGCACAGCAGAATGTAGTGAGAGGATCTGTTTAGTGTGACAGCCCCCCTGTGCCCCTTGGAGACTTCAGAAAATGTCCTATCTCCACCTGCCCTGTTCATTACCTTTATTATGATACCCGATGTCCTTGTGGGAAGTCACAAATGTATTTTTTCACAGATTGATGGGTTTCAGGCATTATCAAGAATAGAGATCAGTGATCTTTAGAAAGTACTACAAGTAATAATTTCTGGCAACTTGTCTCAGGGGCCTGGAATGTCACCATCATCATCATCATTATCTTCAACTTCATCATCATCATTGTCTTCATTATTGTATCATCACCATCACCACTGTCATAATTATTGTTGTCACCATCATCATCTTTATTATCTTCATCATCATCACCATCATCTTCATCATCATCACTGTCATCACCACCATCATCATCATCATCACTGTCACCTGATTAGCATTTTTCGAGTCCTTGTTATGCTCCAACAACTATTCCAAGTGCTTTTCCCACGTCAGCCTATTTCATCCTCCCTGGAGATGCAAGGTGGCAAGCTCTGCAGATCAGGAGGGGACAGTGGTGCGTGGCCAGCCCAGCCTCAGGCAGCTAGCAGCCCCAGTGCAGGAAGTGTGTTCTCAGTTGGAATCTGCACGAGTACCAGCGACCATACCAGGTGCCCTGGCACACACAATCTCACCACATTTAATTATTTTGGGGGATCAGTTTTGTAGGAAGTTAGTATTTATTACAGAAAGGTGTCTTTGGTTAAATCAAAACAAACTTAAAAGGAGTGTATTGATTAATTTTTATATGTATCATTTTTTTCCCATAACATCGACATGGATCATTTCTCATTCAGAGAAATGCTGTAACAACAGATTCAAGGTGGTAAATTCACAGAAAATGGAAACTTGATAATTTAAGAACTCACTATTTAAAAAGAAAAATAATTAGGAGCATATATTTTAAGTAAAACGAGACATACATACATAAATAATGAGTAATGCTCAGAAAAGATGGGATTTAATACCATATTTCATTCATGTTCAAAAAAATTGATTTCCTCAGAAACATGCCTTTAAAAATGTTGTACTGTGTTCACTAGAATTCGTTCCTTTATCCTTTCAACAAATAAATCTTATTACTATGCTTCAAGATATAGATGATGAAATAATTTACATAATAAAATTTAATGTATTTAATACTTTTAGTTTCAAAAGGTCACTCTGTTGAGAACTCAGTGTTCTTTTTTTTATGATTTTATTTATTTATTCATGGGAGACACAAAGAGACAGAGGCAGAGACACAGGCAGAGGGAGAAGCAGGCTCCATGCAGGGAGCCTGACATGGGACTCAATCCCAGGACACCAGGATCACATCCTGGGCCAAAGGCAGACATTAAACTGCTGAGCCACCCAGGGATCCCCTATAGCCCTGTGACTTCTAGAAGAAAACAGAGCAATATCTTTGTAATCTTAGGGGAGCCCAATGCGGGACTTAATCCCAGGACCCTGGGATCATGCCTTGAGCCAAAGGGAGACCCTCAACCGCTGAGCCACCCATGTGCCCAAGAGCTCGGTGTTCTAAGGGACTGCCCCCTGGCACGGGCTTATAGGCTGCAGGAGCGAATGGAGCAAGAGGTCTGCCTGGGTTGCAAGCCCACTATGAAGGCAAAGATTTGAGTTGTGTCTTTCGATGATGTCCGCCTTATTCAGATATAAAACAAACTTAACACAGTTATAAAGCAGGTTCAGGATCCCAAGTTCAATGGCATTTCACTAGGCATGTGACTTGGGTTCCTACCCACCACACAAAGCAAAGCACAAGACAAAGTCATGCAACAAACAGGATACACCAAGACGTAGGAAAGTAGCAAGCCAGACTTGAAGTCAGTCCCTGAGCGCACAGTTGAGGTGAGGCCTCAGCATTCCCTGCCTACTGTTTGCTACACTTGGGCTGTGCAGGATGTCTGTGCAGAGGTCACGGGGCAGAGCTGTGGGGGCAGCTGCCTTGCACATGGGGTCAGATGTGGAAGGTGTCAGGTTTAATCTGATCGGTAGTGAAATGGAATAGAGATGCCAGGCAAAAGTTGGTTGGAACAAGCTTTTAATGGGATGCACTCTCGGCGAGGCTCCAGGCTCCACAACCCGCAGGGGAGGGAGAGAACAGGCAAGTCGCAGGCCAGGGAAGTCGTGCCCAGGCAAACCGCAGGGGGGTCTATAATGAGTTTTCAGTGGTGGGAAGATGGGGGCAGGGTGGCATTCCGATTAGGGCAAGGGTTACAGGTCTTGTAAGCTAAGTTAGGGTGGTGGAAAGGGAGGAGGGCGGGGGGGGGGGTGAATGGGTGACAGGCACTGAGGGGTCACTTGACGGGATGAGCAATGGGTGTTATTCTGTATGTTGGTAAATTGAACACCAATAAAAAATAAGTTTATTTAAAAAAATAAATAAAAATAAATAAAAATAAAAAAAATAATAGGGTAGGGCAGCAAGGCAGCGTTGTTGGGAGGTTGCTGGCCTGGGGTTGGCCGTTTTGAGGTCCCGAGTCTCACCAGCCCAACAGAAGGGACAGCGTCTGGGGAGTCTGAGAGTTTGTTGCAGAACTCTTCCCTTCTAAAGGGGCTTAACCAGCCTTGGGTCTTGCTCTACTCCTCTGGTTCCAGAGAGTAGCAGTCCCCGGTTCCTTCAGGCTCTCTTGGCTTTGCTGGTTATCAGTTCCTGGTACCTCCAGCCTGTTCTGGTTTCTGTGATATCTGGTCTTGGCTGCTTACATCACTGCTTGATCCTGTGACTCCATCTGGCTCTCTACAACTTCAAATAATCCAAAAGCCAATTACATGGATGAGAACTCCTGACCTGGGCACAGCCACTTACTCTTACTGATCTTTTACTTGGGTCCTGGCACAAATAAGAAGACGACAGGGAAGGAAGGAGGTCTGTCTGGGACCCGAAAGCACTGGGAGGAATCCCAGCACAGAGTTGTACCTCCAGGAATCCCGGAGTCTGCCCTCTCGATTCGCAGCAGGACACTGTGACCAATATCCCTGTTTCGGAGGTGGAGACTGGGTTCGAAAGAGTTAAGTAAAATTTCTAAAACAACAGCAACAACAGTAAGTAGTACTGATAAGGCCAATAAAAGGAGTCTTTAGTGTGCTGTGAAGTGTTTGTTTTTGCACAGACTGGGATGTATCCCCACCTGCAGGCAAAATCATCAATGTAGCTTCTCCCGCAGTTTCTAGAAAGAAACCAGTTCAAGTCCAATTGTGAGATGCATTATTATTGTGAGGCTGGTACTTGGAAGTCCATAAAGGGGACACATTGTTGTAAGATCCCCCGGAGATCCACTCGAATTGAGGCTGAGTACAATCTCCACTTATCTTTTTTTTTCTATAATTTTTTTAAGATTATTTATTTATTTATTCATAGAGACACACACACACAGAGAGAGAGAGAGAGAGAGAGAGAGAGTGAGGGAGGGAGAAACACAGGCAGAGGGAGAAGCAGACACCATGCAGAGAGCCTGACGTGGGACTGGATCCAGGGTCTCCAGGATCACACCCTAGGCTGCAGGCAGCACTAAACTGCTGCGCCACCAGGGCTGCCCCCAATCTCCACTTATCTTAATGAGCTTGTGCAAAATGGCCATTGCTTCTCATCCAGTGAAGAACTGATAAAATAAATTTCATTAAATCATGTGGTTGCTTTCGCTAAAAACTTACACTTTTTTTTAAATAGTACTTTTTACAGATCTTGATGACATAGAAATACATTGCTTTTTCTGAACTAACACTACTTCTTCACTTATTTGATGAAGGGAAATCTTAACCATGAGAGTAATGGTAAGAATTATGTCACTGAATATCAACATTAAAGTATAAAACCTGCTCAAATTCATGTAGGCTTTTTAATATCCCAAGTACTACTGGTATTTTCAATATTTTCAGTTTTCAAGGAGCAACCTGAACAACTGATAAAAATTAACCATCTGTTTCTCTGCCTCAGTTTTTGAGGAAGAAGCAAGGAGAATCATACTGCCCACTTTTTTTTTTTTAATTTTTATTTCTTTATGATAGTCACAGAGAGAGAGAGAGAGAGAGAGGCAGAGACACAGGCAGAGGGAGAAGCAGGCTCTATGCACCGGGAGCCCGACGTGGGATTCGATCCCGGGTCTCCAGGATCGCGCCCTGGGCCAAAGGCAGGCGCTAAACCGCTGCGCCACCCAGGGATCCCCCATACTGCCCACTTTAAGGATACTCACACTTTGTTTGTAACCAATGGAGCTCTTTCTCCATGGGGACCCAGAGAGTAATGCCTACAGACAGTGGCCTCCTTGGTGGTGTCTGCAGTCAGTTGATTGTATGGGTTGCCCTAAGGGACCTTGGAGACAGCCCTTTCGAGTGGACCTTCATGTCTGACCTCATGCCATCCCCAGTGGGCTACAGATAGGTATACAGGGTGTCTCTGAAAAGCCCCAGGGCACAGTGGCCAGGGTCCACACTGGCCAAGTCATCATGCCCATCCATATCAAGCTGAAGAACAAGGATCATGTGACTGAGGCCCTACACAGGGCCAAGGCAAGTTCCCTGGCCCCAGTATGTCAGCTGTGCTTTGGTCCTACCTTTTCTGATGCCATTCCTTCCATTGGTCCCTAGATCTACATCTCCAACAAGTGGGGCATTACTCAGTTAAATACAGATGAATTTGACAACATGGTGGCTAAAAAACGGTTCATCCAGATGGGTATGGGATACAATACATTCTTAATCATAGCTCCTTGAACAAGTGGTGGGCTCTGCATTCATGAGAACCTCTGTGCTACCCCCTCCTTATTCATGCCCTCCAATAAATCCTACTTCCCATCAAAAAATTATTCATACTTTGGCTTATTGTATTTCTGGTAATTCGTTTGTTTGTTCATTAGTTCAAAACATGTTTATTGACACCCTTCCCTGCTGCCAGCCTGTTCTCAATCCTGAGAGCTCATCAGTGGACAAAACAGACAAAAATCCTACCTTTGTGGATCTTAATTCTAAATTGGGAAGAGAAGGATATAAAAAATAAGTAGATAAATAATTAAAATATAGTGTGTCAGACAGTCACACTAAAAGTATTATAGCTTTAAAGTTACACAATCAGAAAGGAGTTTACCAGAAGGTGATGAGAAAAATCTTGAAAGTGATCCATGTGGACATTAGAGGGGAGAGTGTTTCCAGTGTGTTCCAGGGACCAAAGCAAGTGGGGTTCCTTTGGTTCTCTGATGATGCAGAGAATGAGTCATTCAAACAGGTGATGGTAAGGATGTTTCTTCTGAAAAATGTACAAAATAAAAAACTTCATCTCAGTTATGCTTCTGTCTTAATTGAATGAGAGTCAAAAACCCTTTGGGTGCTGTTTTAAGAAAACAAAAACCATCCTCGATAGAGACATAGATCATCCTATGGGCCTCCTGAACAGTCTGATAAAGTTTGAGTTTTGCAATTTCATGTTAAAGAATCCAGATGTCTTCATTAAATACTTTATGTGAAGATAAAGTTGTTAAGGTCAAAATACATACGCCATTGCTGCTATCCCCATGGATGAATAGTACGAGTATATGCACCTGCTCTCCTCCAACGGGCCCACAGATTTCTCTTTGCCAAACCTTCCATATCTGCATTCCTGGACATCATATATTCTGATTCCACTGTGAATTCCCATGAAACTGTTTGCATCTAACTCACTCATATGCTACAGTATCTCACAGGAAAAAATACCACTGCTCCCAACAACTTTCTTCCAGGGATCATGTAGGACCACAATTCAGTGATCCCTAGCTCAACTCATAATTTCTTGTCTAAGTTATTTCAAGAAGATTTTAAGAGAGCACTCATTCTAAGGGTGTTATGTACTCCCCTCTAACATAACAGTGTGACAGACATCTTAGGGCTAGAAAAGAACTATTTAATCTAGCTCATCTGTTTGATACTTGGACCCTGTTTTGTAAAATTTCTATCACTTAGTTTCAAGTTGTCCATTTTGTAATGGAATCCTCTAATGAGAGATTTGATTAATCTGGAAGCAGTTAAATCTAACAATTCAAGTTGTAAGCCATGGATAATCAAATCTAGCAATGTGCAAAAAGCTATATGCCATGAACAAGTGGATTTTTCCCAGATATGCAAGGCAAGTTCAACATTCAGCAATCACTGTAATGCATTAGATCCATAGGCTAAAGAAGAAAAATCGTATACATGTATCAATTGAAACAGAAAAAGCACTGATAAACATGTAACGTCCATTCATGATACAAAGAAAAATTCTCTCAGCAAACTAGAAACAGAGAACAGACCTTTAGCTGGTAAAGATGTCTACAGAACCACACAACTAGCATATTAATGATGAAACATTGAATGCTTTTTCCTAAAATAGAAGGAGAGTGTCTGTTCTCACCACACTTATTCAATGTTCTCCTGGAAGTTCTAACCAGAATAATAAGGCAAAATAAATAAATAAATAATTGATAATGACTCAGTAGAGCAAAGACATCAATTTTCTCCAAATTGATCTATAGGTTTAATGCAATTGCTGTCAAATTCCCAGTAAGGTATTTGTAGACATAAACAACCCTATTCTAAAATTTATATAGAAAGATTCAGGGCCTAGAATAGTTAAAATAGTCTTGAAAAGGAATAATGTGAGAGCAATCATTTTATCCAATATTAAAACCTATTATACATCTACAGTAACCAAGCCAGTGTGGTATTGGCAGAGGACAGACACATAGATGAAGGAACAGAACAGAGAACCCAGACAGACACTGACCCACACAAATATTCCCAACTGATCTTTAACAGTGGACAGAGTAATTCTATAAAATAAAAAAAGGTAGATTTCAACAAATAGTACTGGATTAACTGGAGTCAGAAAGAAAGGAAGAAAGAAAGAAAGAAAGAAAGAAAGAAAGAAAGAAAGAAAGAAGAAAAGGAAGAGAAAGAAAAAAAAAGAAGAAGGGAACTCTAAATAAACTTCATACTTTATGCAAAAATTAACTCAATTGATATTGATCACCAACCTAATATAAATATACAACTTTAGGGGAAAGAGAAACAAAAGATAATCTTTGGAATCTAGAGCCTGGCAAAGATTTTTGAGTCTTTACATCAAAAGAATGATGTATAAAAAGAAATATTGATAAATGGGGCCTCATCAAAATCAAACAGTTTGGATCTGTGAAGTACCCTGTTAAGATAGAGACAACATACAGACCAGGACATTATATTTGTAAACCACAGATCTGACAAGGGACTGATACCAAGAATATATAAATAAATCTCAAAATTAAACAGTAAGAAAGCAAATATCCAATTAGAAAATGAGCAAAGTATATAAAAATAAATTTCACTGAAGATGATACTCAGGTGACAAGTTCATGAAAAGATGTTCAGCAGTGGAGCATTGGAGAAATGCAAAATAAAACCACAATGAGGTATCAGTGCACACCTATCAGAATTGGCTTGAGTGAAAACAGCCTCCAAACCAGGAGGTGCTGAGGAGGTGGAGAACTGCTCACTTGCACACTGCTCAGGAGAATGTAGCAGTGAGGCCTCTCTGGAAGTGGTGTGACAGCTCCTTTCAAAATTACAGATGCACTTCCCATATGACAATGCATTCAACATTGCATTCTTGGGCATTTATCCCAGAGAAAGGAAAATATGTTCACACAACAAGCGGCACACTAGCATTTATAGCAGTTTTATTCATAAAAGCTCAAAACTAGAAACAATCCAAACACCCTTCCAGGGGTGAACAATTAAACAAGCTGAGGTTCCATACCATGCCTGGAACAACACTGAGCAGTAAAATAGAGCAATCAGTGTAAGCAACAACATGGATGGATGTCACAGGGACTAACCTCAGGGACAAAGACAATCACAGAAGTTACCCGTTGTCCCATTCCATCCATATAGCACTCCTTGAAATTATCATTTTTTTTTAAAGATTTTATTTACTTATTCATGAGAGACACAGAGAGAGAGGCAGAGACACAGGCAGAGGGAGAAGCAGGCTCCCCACAAGGAGCCCAATGTAGGACTCGATCCCACGACCCCAGGATCACACCCTGAGCCAAAGGAAGATGCTCAACCACTGAGCCACCCAGGTGCTCCTAAAATGATAATTTTATGGAGATGAAAAACAGATTGTGGTTGCCAGGTGTGAGGGAGGAGGAGGGTGGGAGGACCCTGCTGTAGAGGGGAGCATGAGGACCCCTGAGGTGGAACTGTTCTGAATCTTGGGTTGGTGACAGTCACACGAAACTACAGGGGATACAATTGCAAAGAACTACACACACACACACACACACAACACACACACACACACACACACTACTTTCAGTCTTACAAAAAATGTTGCAAAAAAAGAATCGCCACACGATAGCGTGTGTATCACGCTACCATCAGGGGTGTGTATGTGCTTGTACGTACGTATTTGAGGAAAGCATGAGCCTAAGTTGCAGACATGATTACTCTTTACTTGTTCAAATGTCAGCATGTAATCTCTAAAACAATAATGACTTTCTATTTCCTAACCACAGTGTGACTATCAAAATCAAGAAGTTAATATTGATCTAACCCTGTGGTCTAACCTACAGACTTTATTCATTTGGGCAATTATCCCATAATGCTTCTTATCTGATGCAAGATTCAACCTAAGGTCCTCTTCACATTGAATCGTGTCTTTTTTGTTCCCCACAGTCTGCAACCGTTTCATGACCAAGACATTTTACAGAACACAGGCCAGTTACTGTGAAGAACCCTCCCATTTTGGTTTATGGGATCTTTCCTCCTGGTTAGATTCCGGTTGTGCATTTTTGGAGGAGATATCACAGACATGAAGTTGGAGTCTTGCCCATGTGTAGTATCTGAAGGCATTTGGTCTCAACTTGTCCCTTAAGGTGACGTGCATTTGATCAAGTGACCCCTTGATCAAGACGCTATAATGTTACTATGTTGCCCTTGGTAACTAACAAATCACTGGAGGAAGATACTTTGAGATTAAATAGATATCATATTTTTCTTCTTCTTTATTAATAATTTTGACAACCATTGATGTTTCTTATCTAAAGAATCTTCACTGACGGTTGCCAGATGATGATATTTTAGGTCAATCATCTCTTCTGCTTTCATTAGATTCCTACCACCATAAGAATGGGCTTCCTCTTCTCTCCCATTTGTGCTCCTTTTATTTGTTTATATCATTGAGCTATATCTCTGCGTGACACCCTATCATCCAACTGAACGGACACCTTCTCATGTCCATGTTCTCCTATTCTATTCCTCTAACATTTGTTGCAGATTGTCTAGTGGTCTAATTATTTGTCAACATTATTAGGACTCCTCATACTATTTGAAA